CATCGATTTTTTCTAATCGATGGTAATCGATTCTCAGTTGATAATTGATTGCCAACCTGGTTTAAAATTTCGTGATGTTGTTGATAAAATTATAACGCAAAAGATTGAGGAAGCAGACTACAATATTAAGCCTATCAATAAACTCTTAATACAGGAGATTGGAAAGATTTTTAAAACTTATATAGAAAAGCTAGATCAAGATTATGATTCTGGATCTGAAGACAACTTAAAAGATATTATATCTATTCGTAAACCTGCAATCAAGAATCTTGTTACTACCAATGATATGTAAATCACAAGATGTAATCTTATTTTTTTATCTCCGCTGATCCATCCGTCAAACTCGCGATATATAATGAACTCAATAGCACTAGAAATGTGATGACGTGAACATAAAATTGTCATCATATTTTTTATAGATCGTAGAGGTATCCAAGCGTGATGACGTGAATACAAATTCATCATCATATTTTTTATAGATTATGGAGGTATCCAAGTGTGATGACGTGAATACAAATTCGTCATCATATTTTTTATAAATCATGAGTATCTAAGTGTGATGATGAACTCGTGAACCAATCGTCACTCGAATGATGAGACAAATGCAAAATACTCATCATACCTGAGACTATTATAGTCTAATCTAAGTTGTTTTGAGTTTATATAAACTCAAAATGACTAAAACTATACTAAAAATCAAAGGGTAATTATAAGATATGTGATAAGTGGATTTGTTATTAAGAACTTGTTAACTAATAACTTGTATGGTAGGATTGTAAGTTATTATATTGTAAGATGTCTTTTTGCTATCAAGTGAAGTGCTACTTATATATAAAATTGATTGTTGCAAAGATCTCTAAATATCCGTAACACTAAACAAGCAAAATCTTTATAGTTCTAAAGATCAATGCTTCAAAATATCAACAATTCGATATCTCTAATAATCAACAGTTCAAAATATCGAAGATTCAATATATCTGTCACATTGATGCACAGTACATGTAAATAATAAACCCAAAAATAACTAACCAATAAAAATAAAAAATAAATATTGTCTAATAAAATATACTATACAAAATGTCCAATAAAAATAAACTAAGAAATTGTCCAATAATATATAACAAACAAAATAAACTATAACAATATTATAATATTTACAATAAATATAAAAAAGAAAATACTTGAATTATCTCAAGTAAACTTTTGATTTTTAATAAATACTTTAAATTATACTTATAATTAAAATTGTAATTCAAGTTTAGAATTACAAATCAGTATAGGCCAAACTTGAACTTATATAATAATTCAGTTTGAGTTTAGTTCAAGTATGATTCAAACTTCAAAACTTTCTTGAACTTAAATCAAAGTTTGATTCAAGTTCATGATGAAAAATCCTTTTAGCTTATTAGGATCTGATTTAGTTATCTTGATCCGTTCCTGAAGCAGCAACTCCTACAAAAAGTTTCCAACCACATTTCGGGCTCGATATTTCGACACCAGTTGTTGGATTCGCACAAAAATACCACCATTCGATTCGTCTAGTCATGATGAATCGAATGGTGCAAATCCAACAACTGGGTGTCGAAATATCCGCCCGAAAGTTGCCATTCGTTAAAATTTCGATCCAAATCGACGAACAATAACTTTTGGTCGAGCTATCGCGCTCGAAAAAGTGTTTGGAAACTTTTAGTATCCATATGCGGCAAGATCGACAAATCGTAAAATAATTCTGATTATATCTTTCGGATTGTTCCGAAAATTTCGGGTTAAACCCGAAACTAGGCCATTTTTTCGGTTTGGTTTGGGTTGGTCCGGTTCCAGTTCGATTTCGGATTGATTCGAACATTCGGAACTCTAGTTTTACTTCGTAAATTAATATACAGGTTCACATACTCTTACCTCGTCTTATGCATTCGATAGAGCAAATTCGATAAACTGGAATATCCAGTTTATTAAAAAATCTGGTTAATTATTAGGCTGTATATCAAATATTCGCTAAATTTCGGATCACTCAAACTCGGATCATTCGGAACTTTGAGATCAGTATCTTGTGTAGACAAAGCTCCCTTGGATAGTAGGTTCGTTTGACCCCTCATTTTTGTATTCGATAATGGCCAATGCGGCTTTCTGATTCAGTCCGTGAGCTGTGGTTGACAAAAGCGCATTGACTTCGGCCCCATCGGTGTTATTAAGGTTACCCAGGGACCCAAAGATATCCTGAAAGGATTCATTCATAGCATTGACGCGGTCCATTTCTGATAGGTAGACCTCTTGTGCCATAGTGTTCTTTGCTACGTTATTGGATATGGCCAGATGTTTATTCTTTAAATTTTGTATGAATTCGCCGAAAATTTTATGCTAGGGGGACCTTTGCGCTTGGCAGATCAACCTAAAAAAATTGAACTTGATAATTTAGAAGGGTTGGTGACGCTTGAGGGAACCGGCATATATAGGATAGTGTTTACGAGCTTTCTTTGAGCTATGTGAAAAAGAATACGATGAGCAGACACGTTTCCTTGCAAATAACAGGGATTCTAACCATTTTCAACCTCTCGAGTCTTCTGCCGTTTGAGAATAATACCACTTTCAGATGATGAGGCAGGCTGTTTGCTATTGATGTGAGATGCTGGTTATAAATGAGCGCCAAACATATTTAAATAATCAGATACAATTGCAATGTAGGTTGATGATGTTTTGGATTCAGTGGGAATTACATGATAGAATAAAACATACTTTGATGCTTCATCTGCAGCGTTGATAATTGCTTCCTTAATTGATCTAACTCTTGACTTGCTGTAACTGTACAATTATTTGTATATGCTCATCGGCAAGTGAATCAGAAAAATGTTTGCTAATCTTCGAAAGAGGCGACAGTTTCACTCATCACTGATATTTGCATTAAATTTGGTTCTGGCAATGTCTAACTTTACGTTTGGTTCATCGAGAAGGATATTGACTAGTGTTTATATTGTTATAGCCGGCTTATCCAGCTATATTTTAATATCTAGCCAGCTCAGCCACATATTTTTAAAGTTCAAGCCAGCTCAGCCAGATGGATTGTAATTTTATTTAAAGGAAAATATTAACTAAATGAGAATTTTCTTTCAAAAATAAAATATCTGACAATGTAGGAAGATGCATTTTTCTGTTATAATATTTTCAGCACTTGAAAATAAATGTTCAGAAAATACTGAACTAGCAGGAATGGCTTCATAAATTCATGCTTGTTTAGCTAATAAAGGGAATTTTGATGCATTGAGATGCCATCAATTAAGTGAATTATTCTCAGATGTTTTAGAAAGTGGTTTTATTTCAATATATCTATCCAATTCACTTTTTTGAGAATTAGAAGATATATTAAAAGTTTTTTCTTTAAAAAATAATGAATCAAATTCACCTATTTGAGAATTAGAAAATATATTGAAAGTTTTTTCTTTAAAAGGGCAGATGACAAGTTAGAAAATATTTCATCAGTAAGATGGCTAGCCGGCTAGCCACGGTCCATCGATTTCCTCTTTCACCCAAAACTAAACAGCTTAAAGTTATAAGTGACATGATTTTGTTTCTGTTTACATCAAACAACATTTAAGAACATTATTTAATTGAATTTTCGAAGTATTTTCAGCCACAAGCAAAAAATTTTGGATTTTGGATAGTACATAGATTTCTAAATTTAAGAAATGAGTAAATTCAAGAACACCACCCCAACTAAACGTTCTAAGCAAACAATTTCAGAAAGTACAATGTCCATTGACGAAGAGGCCACCACTACTAATACTCCAATAGTCTACGTGGAGGAGGACGTACAAATGCTCGTTAACGAAGGAAATACATTAAAAATGGAGAAACCAAATTTTGCACCTCTAAGAGCTCGCGACTTGAAGGTAGATAAAGAAACGAGTACTATTTATTTTAAGATTTTTGAAAACTTGGAATACCTAAATTCACTTCGTATAAATTTATTTATAGGGCACCAAACGACAAATGCAAAAAATCTCAGTTCCACCCAACAGATACACTCCATTGAAAAAATTATGGTCAAAAGTTTACGAGCCATTAGTGGAACACTTGAATTTGCAAGTGCGAATGAATACAAAGAGTCATTGCGTGGAGCTGAGGGTTACGTGTTTTCCTATATTTTGTTTTATTTAAAAGATTGATTTTTATTTATTCATTTTTGTTTTGGGAAAATTAGACATCGCACCATACCAATGAAACAGGCGCCCTACAAAAAGGTGTCGATTTTGTAAAAGCTTTTATGCTTGGTTTTGATATAGATGTGTGTAAAAGTAACAAAATAATGAAACAAAATGCTACATTCTTCATTCACAGATTTTAAATTATTGATGAATTTACTACAATTTTGGTCAAAAATATAGGACGCTACAGCCATTATCCGTTTAGATGACCTTTACATCGATTCTTTTGAAATAAAAGATGGTTCGTACCTCGTGTATTATCAGCATAGTTTATATCTCAATACTCTAATATCCGCTCATTATTAATAGTCAAGAATCTTCAAGGGGATCATTTATCTCGTGCTATTGGTCGTATAGCAGGCAAAGATGGAAAAGTTAAATTCACAATAGAGAACACATCAAAGACGAGAATAGTTTTAGCAGATACGTGAGTATTGTTAAAATTACTTGTTTCTCGATATTGTATTGCTAATTCATTATATAAAACTATATATCTAGAAAAATTCACATCCTAGGAACATTCCAAAACATAAAAATTGCGCGTGACGCCATAGTCTCCCTAATACTGGGCAGTCCGCCTGGAAAAGTTTATGCGAATCTGAGAACTATCAGTTCGCGCATGAAAGAAAGATTTTAGTCTAATTTAAATGCATGTTATTACAACGAAAGATTGATATTTATATGTATTATATATATAAAAAATATACAGGTATAAAAAGCGGATTCAAATCAAAATAAATAATCATTTTTCACAAAACATAAAAAGTATTATTACAATCAAATCTACATGTTAGTTTTTGTGTTTATCCGGGAACAATTAATCAAATTACTCTCATTAATGAAAATGAAATATTTTCTTCGAATGATGTATTTAAATTTAAGGAATATTTGCCCGCACATAAAATAAACAATAAGCAGCACGTGTCTAATAAAAATAATTACATTAATAAATAAGCTGAAAAATAATTGGTCAACTAGTAAAAAATAATAAGACATACCATGACATCACTTTCGTCACAAACCGAAACACGACTATCATCAAAATTATGCCATTCTTGACGATATCCATTACGAACACAAGCAGTATAATGACCACCATTCAACCCGCCTCCATAATGATTAGACACCGCATAAAGATCGTATATATAAGGTGGGCCACATGGTTGCAACGATTGTTGCGACGATGGTGTATTTTGAAGACCCGCCTGCAACTTGAGTCCAATTTCTGTAGTCGGAGGTAACGGCGGGAGCATATAATCTGTCAAATCGAAACTTCGTAATGGGAAATTCACCATAGCTTCGAGCTTATCTCTAAAAGGACCATCGTACGAGAATCGTTTTAATTGTACTAGAAGAATATTAGGCAGACGAGATAACTTAAGTTGTTTAGTGGAGCGTCGTGGAACTCGACATCGTGGACAGTGCCATGCATCCTTGCCGTCGAGTATTTCCTCTTTGACAAATTCGTTCAGGCATTGGTAAAGGTTTATTGTGTCGTGATTTTTCGCAGGAATTGGCAGTTGAAGACACATAAATGTATCATATTTTGTTGAAGTTCTACCACAAGTCAGACATTTCAGTCGACTACGATATTGACCTTGGAAAAGACTGACAACCATAGACCAATTACGACGAATATATTCATCCCATGCCATTTCCGAAACTTTTTGCGAAGGCAAAAGTTCTCTTTCCTCCTCTTCTTTTTCCGTCAATTCCCGCATTGGGGGTTTATATTTAATGATATTTAAATCTTCATGTAGCCCATCAAGCAGGTACGCTAGGAACTCTTGCGAATCTTGTTGATCTGATCCAGAAAATTGTGGTGCAAAGCGTCCAATGGCCTCTTTAAAAGTTACTGGCGAAACAAATGTAAATTGTCCACCCCACATGTAATGAATAAGTTTTGCAAAAGCCTCTGCCAATTGACCTTTAGTGCCTAAGGGATTGATTAGATTAATGTGTTGTTTGTAACTACCATTGAGAAAATATCTCGAGAATGGAATCGTGCCACTCAAGCATTGAATCACGGAATTCATAAAACAGGTGTTGCCTAGATTTTTGAGCCCTGTTGTCCCAATTCCTGATCCCAGCTGTGAAAAACTGCTCTCGGAATTCGGGAACCGTTGATGAAAACCACCAGATCTTAATGAAGGTCTACGGTCAATATCCGTTTCTCCTGCATTTTTTGGTGGCATTGATATCATTTGCTGTGGTGAAGAGAATTCATTGGTTTGATGTAGAGGTGGGGGTGGTAGAGGTTTTTGTGGTCGGGGAGGAGCTTTATAGTCGGGATTGTTTACGCGAGTAAAGTTAGTGAAGGGATGGTCTATAAAAGTTCGGCGTCTTTGTAGGGTGGAGGATCCTCCTGGTTGATTTACGGCAGGTGTGGAGGTCGCAGGTTGAGGTTGGGATTGAGGGGGGACTTGGGCTTGTGATGAACTACCGACATCACTCACTTGTCCGGGCATATTTGAAATGGCTGTGGATGTGGAAGGTAGATTTGGTAAATAGTTGGATTGTTGTTGTTTTTGTTTTTGTTGATCAATAGTAGATGACAGTGCTTGATCATTGTTGTAATTGGAATAAGTCGAGGTGTTCTTAGATGTGTTGTAATTCGGTAATTGCATGGATTGCTGATTATCAGGGAGGTTTGGCATAAACTTAAAATCCAAATAAAAATTTGTTATGCTGTTCATATTAATATAATTACTCAGATATACCAAATATACATATTTTCACTTACTAAATCCATGTAACTTGTCTTGACCAACTGACCAGATAAAGCATTTTGTCGCGGCAAATTTCCCGCCTGTTTTTGTAACGTGCTATAAAAAAAGTTTGTTATTCTTAGTGAAATATTCATAAAAACCAAAAACCCGCTTCTGCGTAAATTTCATCAAAAAAAATCATTAGCACGCAACAACATACCCGGTATAATGCGTTTCCCAATCGCGATTATCAGGAATCACTATTCCATTTCTTTTTGACTTGTCGTTCTGAAGAAGCGGTTCTCTGAAGCCACCAACACCGATACCATTAGGAGATACAGATGTATTAGTAGCGGTATTATCAGTGCCAGAATAAAAGGCTCCTGCGCCTCTATTTTCTATTCTCTCAATTCCAGCATCGCCAACCATGCGCCTCCAAGCGTCAAACCCTCCGGTTAATAGCACTGGTATACGTTTAAGCGATTTCCCAAATGCAGTTATCCAAATAGCATCTACCAAATCACGCATAGGGTTATTATCAAGATTTTGAGACGCAGAAGGCTTGGAAGTTACTCCAGGGTTGTCTACCGAATTTTGGTCATGATATACTATTAGGTCGAAAGTGTTTCGGGCGGCGAATAAGGCTCTTTCATTTTCTGGTGAGAGAATCAGGCGTTGCTCCAAATCTATGGAAGATTTTCTTTGAATATGTAAACATTAAAGGGTAGTGGAGGAGGCGTAAAAGCTTATTAATGAAATGATTTAAAATGAACTGAATTACTTTGAATCAATTTATTATCAAATAAATAATTACGAATACTAATAATCACTTACCCTTTAACTAATATTATCGGTTCCAAACAAACAATATTCTTCGTCTTTATATGACCTTCATTGAATTGAACTCGTTGTCTCACATCCAGAATTAAAATATTAGGCGGATTATCCTTGATTTTCAAGAATTTGTCAAGTTCCGATGCTTTGATAATTTGAGTGTCTTTGAAATTGGCGAGAGGATCGGGCTCTTTTGGAGTATTGCTACTATTGATGGTTGTTATTATGGATGCAGGAGGTACAAGAGTTCGAGGAGATAATAGGGTTTTAGATGAGAATATTGTATCATTTCTGGAAGATGTGTCCATTAGCGTATTATTACTATTAATTATCTTCTTACTATTACTATTATTATTATTATTATTATTATTATTAATATTAATATTTTTATCCTCGATAAATCCATTGTTTTGTAAACTAGCTATCCTATTAGCAATAGAAGGATTAAGCGGTGCCATAGAAGATTCATTATTTGCCGTTGAAGTAATACTGCCAATCATTTGATCCCCAATAATGTACACTGGAGATTTTGATATACCTAATTCTGTACTATTATTATTCGGTGACGATGGTGTAGTGGAAACCTGATAATTAGGTTGTTGTTGCTGTTGGGTTGTTGTGAAGTGAGGCATGGGCATAAATGACATATTAACACTGTCATTGTTATTTTCGGTCGATGATGATCCGGGAGGAGAGTAGTTATTACTATTCTTAGAATCTCGTTGCGTGATCAAAGAGGTTAATTGATCGGCTTCGTCTAAAACAGCTGGCACTTTCTGAATATAAATAATAAATGAATATATAAATAATTTTGTTCCTCTTTAATGCATTGAAAATCAAATAAAACACATACACTCTTTTTAAACTCATCATAAGTGGAATACATCGGATCTTTCAAGAAAGTTTGGTAATCTTTATGCACAGGGATAATTTCTAGTATAATGCTAATGTAATGAAATTCTCGGTGAAAATCAGAATAATAGATGCAATAGCATTAATTTCATTCTAAAATCAAAAATATACCTAGAAATTTTCAAATAATTGATGTACATAGTATCGTAGTCTTGATGGTAATTTGCTGCTTCTGCCTAGTAAATAAATAATGAAATATTAAAAAACATAATCTATTGATATTAAAATTAATGAGCATTTATTTTTGGTCAAGGGAATTAATTGATAGATGTGACAACATAAGCAGCACACTTCTAAAAACGTTCGTTGTTGCATAATTCTATTTGCAAAAGACCATAAGGTATGCTTGCCTGCTCCAAAAGCGAGTTTGTCGATTTTAACCACATTTTTATCGGAAAGTTCGGGTTTGGCTTTACTTTCGCTTCCTCTCTAAGCTGAGCTATTGTCTTTGGCTTAACCATTGCCATGGCGGCAGCAGTTTTGTGTATATTTTTAAACGGTGAGCCAATAATTAGTGTTCGTTCAGATCTAATTCAACACCACCACCGAGAACAATAAACTCAGTCGCGCTGCACGAGGTAATAAACCGTTGATTTTCCAACTTATTCAACCAATCAATGATATGAGTTTAAGTATGGGGATGAATGATTTTAATCGTAAGGTAAAAATAGATAAAATAGATTAAAATGACAACCGAAAAAGTTATTATAGTCACAGGCGGGTCCGGACTCGTTGGGAAAGCTATAGAATGGGTAATAGAAAACGACAATGGGCGTTTCGGCCGAAAGGATGGTGAAAAATGGATATTTCTTACAAGTAAAGATGGAGATTTACGGTAACTAACTAACTATATCTAACTAATACATAGTTTATCCCAACTACTATGAAATTTCACACCACAAACACATTATTTTATAAAGTTCACCAGAGGCAACGCGTGCAATTTTCGAAAAGTATAAACCAACGCATGTAATTCACCTTGCTGCATTGGTTGGCGGGTTATTCAAAAATTTGAAGTATAAGCTCGACTTTTTGCGGGATAATTTGCTTATTAATGATAATGTCTTGCACACTGCACATGAATACAAGGTACTATTTTTATTATATTTGTATTTCGTCAATACTCTCGGCGCGATCTTAAATCCATGATAAATACAATATAACATATGATCATATAAATAAATTAAAGGTAGAAAAAGTTGTATCGTGTCTGTCCACCTGCGTATTCCCTGACAAGACGACTTACCCGATTGACGAGACAATGATTCATAATGGACCGCCGCATCATTCTAACTTTGGGTACGCGTACGCGAAACGATTAATCGACACACAAAATAAGTGAGATATTTTCTTTTTTTTGTCTTCGCGTTTTCATTTCTTTAACATATAAAACTTTACTATTTACACGCGTGTATGATCTTAACATTTTTACACGAAAAAAAGAGCTTATTTTGATCAATTTGGCCACCGATTCACATCAGTGATTCCAACTAATGTATTTGGTCCGCATGATAATTACGATTTGCAAGATTCACATGTGATTCCGGGATTAATTCATAAATGCTATCTAGCCAAAAGTAAGTGGAATTCATTTTTTGGAATCGTTGAATAAATGAGGTTAACTAAACATTTCGTAATTGATATTTGCAGAAAATGGAACTCCATTTGTGGTTGCCGGTACCGGAAAACCTCTTCGACAGTTCATATACTCACGCGACTTGGCAAAGTTGTTTATATGGGTGTTACGAGAATATGATCAAATTGATCCGATAATTTTGTCAGGTTGGTTTGATTGCCCTACTAAATTAATTAATTAATCAATTAATTGTTAACTATCTTATAATAATATTTATAGTTGGCGAAAAAGATGAGGTGTCGATAAAAGATGTTGCTGATACAATTGTAAAGTATTTGGGATTTGGTGGATCTTATTCTGTACGTATTCGTTAGTTTATATATATATGTAAAAATAATTTTAACGAGTACTTAAAATTGTTTGTGTGTTTTCCATAGTTTGATACTACGAAAGCAGATGGACAATTCAAAAAAACGGCTAGTAATGCTAAATTACTAAGTTATCTCCCGGATTTTGAATTCACTCAGTTTGATGTTGGTAAGTGGTGGTGGTAAGGATTAGTGAAGGTATTAAGCATATTATTGATTTTTTTATCATTGATTTTATTTCACAGCTATTCAGGAGTCGGTCAACTGGTTTCTTGAAAATTATGATAAAGCTCGTACCGGAAACCCTACTTAATACACACCATAGTTGTCAATTCAGAAATAAACAATTATAGAATCAAAAAATTTTAATTTATATATTTATTTTAATAATAAAACGCTCAGTATATTTATTTTTCTTTTCATACTTCATGTTGATTATCCAATAACTTTAGATAACTAATAAGCTCCTCCCATGCGTAGCATCTTACAAAACTTCCTATGCTTAGATGACGATGAGAAAGAATTCCAGTTGCGCAATATTGCTTAATTTTGCATCTTTCCTCGATTTGTGTTCAGGCCGACAGAATTAGATCTTTAATGCTTCTATCAAAACTTTTAGCTTTACATAAATAAGACGGCTATAAAAACATCATACACGAAAAATCAAGGTTGTTGATTAATAAAATCATCACCCTTTTCCTTGAAAAATTCTTTAATGATTCTACCGCTTGCCGAAATCCACATTTTACAAGACATGTAATAAAAGTCATTATGTCTAATTTCTTGAAATCAACATTTCTACTTTCCTATCCACATCAATTCAGCAGAAACATAGGTGTAGATATGCCACTTAGTCCCGAATTATGCGTAACCATAATGTGTTATTACATCGCAATCCATTGCAAACACTGAAGACTTTGGGGGTAAAATTCTAGTTTACTAACCAAAGAAAGTATTGTGATCTAAATTCTTTTTTTGCAAAAAAAAAAAAAAACATTGTTGATAAGGAGTAGTTCTAATATTTGAAATATTCCAGAAATTAACAAAGATTGAATGTTCTCGATAAACTATTTTATCTTCGCTATCTTGATACCCACCCATTACCTGCTCAATCAACTTATCCATTTCATCACGATTTAAGAAGGAATCAACATTTTTTTGTGTTGAAGTATTTGATGACGATTATGTGGTAGAAACCTGACAATTAGATTGTTGTTTGGTTGTTGCGAGCTGAGGCACGGATACAATGACATATTGGCATTGTCGTTATTGTTGTTATGGTTGTCATTGTTATTTTCAGTCGATGATGATTTGGGAAGAGAATAATCGTAATAATCATTACTATTCTCACTATCTCGTTGCGTGATCAAAGAGGTTAATTGATCGGCTTCATCTAAAACAGCCGGCACTTTCTGAATAAATAATCAATGAATATATTAATAATTTTTTTCCACTTTAATGCATTGAAATCAAGTAAACATACTTACACTTTTTAAACTCTAAATAAGTAGAATACATCGGATCTCTCAAGAAATCTTTATGTTGCGGGATGATTTCTAATATGATACTATAATGTATACGCATATATGTGGAAAACAATGGAATTGGTGAAAATCAAAATAATAGTATTTATTTCATTCTAAAATTAAAATATACCTAGCAACTTTTATATAATTAATATATATAGTATATAGTATCGTAGTCTTGATAGAATTTTGCTGCTTCTGCCTAATAAAATTAATGGACATTTTATTTTTGGTCAACGGTTTAATTGATAGATTGACAACATAAGCAGCACACTTCTAAAAACGTTCGTCACTTCATAATTCTACGTCGATATGTAATAAGATAATAAAGTATGCTTGCCTGCTGCAAAAGCGAGTTTGTCGATCTTAACCATGATTTTATCTGTAAGTTCGGGTTCGGCTTTATTTTCACCTCTTTTCTAAGCTGAGCTATTGTCTGATGACAGCAGTTTATGTATTCTGTTAATTTTTTATCGTTATGGATTTGTTTACCAAATGATCTACAAGGATCTGCGATGGCTTCGAGGTTAAAAATAAAAAATTTTAACATTTTTCGCTCTCTTAACAATGGATCCATCCTTACTTCGTGATCGTCTATTATTTGCCATTCCAAAGAAAGGCAGACTTCACGAAAAATGCATAAGCTTATTACAAGGCGCAGACATTATCTTTCATCGTCACAATCGTCTCGACATCGCACTTGTACAAAACCTTCCGATAGCATTAATTTTTCTTCCAGCCGCCGACATTGCAAAATTCGTGGGTGAAGGGAACGTTGATTTAGGAATCACAGGTCAAGACATGGTTGCGGAAGCAGAGGTCTCTGATAAAGTCGTTGAACTATTAGAGTTGGGATTTGGTAAATGTAAACTACAAGTGCAGGTCCCAGAGAAAGGAACTTTTTCGAGAGTTGAAGAATTGAGCGGGAAACGAATTGTTACTAGTTTTAAGTGGTTGGTTGAAAAATATTTTCAAGCATTAGACGCGAAGGTGTTAAATCCAGAAGAAATTGCGAAAGGGAAAGGAACACGTATTCATTACGTTACTGGTAGTGTGGAGACTTCATGTGCTTTAGGCTTAGCAGATGGCATAGGTATATTTTTATTTTAATTATTATTCTGAAGTTAATACATGAATATATGCAATGATACGCGTAAATAACTGATTGTCATGTTGATAGTTGATTTAGTTGGTATGTAACTTTATTTTTAAACTTCTTTACTGAATATTTTCTAGCCTCTAATTTCTTTCTAAATTGATTATTTAAAATAACAAAAGAATCCGGCGAGACAATGAAAGCAGCTGGTCTACATGCAATCAGTACAATTCTAGAGACACAAGCCGTCCTAATTCGCAACAAAAACCCATCGAATCCCGATCTTGTCACAAAAATCACATCACGCATACGTGGTGTAATAGCCGCCCAAAAATACGTTCTCTTAAACTACAACATTGAACGCACGCAACTCAAGAACGCCACGAAAATTACACCTGGTCGTCAAGCACCTACTATCAGCGCGTTAGAAGATCCTGATTGGGCCGAGGTTCAAGCTATGGTTGAAAAATCTCAGGTTGCTGAAATAATGGATCGGATCGAGGATATTGGTGCCAAGGATATTCTCGTGTTTACTATTAGTAATTGTCGAGTGTGATATCATTTTTAATTTTGTATCGAATAACCGAGTTATGTATATAATAAATTTTTGATTCGCGAATTTTGTTATAATTTATGTAAAAATTATATATCATTTATTTCAGCCACTGATAGTAAATTTGTTTATCTAATTTTTGGTATGGTACATAACATCAAACAATTTAATGTAACTTTGAACTCTATCAAATTTGATAATTTAACAAACTAAACCATAAAAATGATAGCTTTATCACTTTTGCAGTTTACTCTTGTTTGCATAATTTTTATTAAAATTAGGGTTTATTAAAGATGTGCACCTGCATCCCTCGAATCTGATCTGTCCGACAAACCCTTAAATTAATTGACCAATAAAATCGCAAGATCAGCGTGTAACGCAAAAAACGGCTTTTTTTCGAGGTGGCATTTACTCCCAAATTCTGATTGGACGCAAGTAATTTACATCGCTGATTGGTTGACTGCACACCGGGTTTTCTAGATTAACCAATAAAAATGCATAAATTTTAATCAAACCGAAAAAAAAATCGACACAAGAAAATTGCTTGAAGCACTAACGCTAATAAAAAATGTTGGTGAGGCAATTTCGCATATAATCTTATCCTTTAATATACTCAACCAATCAGAACTTGGGGTGGAAATTAGTAAATTCTTTGGAATGATCAACATAATTTCGTTGATCTTTTATAATCCTGACCAAAATTAAACATAATTTAAGAAATTTTTTGATTATTTATAATTCCAGGCAAAATCATACTTTTAATATGAGTTTAGATGTTACGCACCATACGTAATTCGAATACAAAATACATAAATACATAGAATCCGTTGACAAAATATTTTGACTTATTGATTTGTCATCTTTATTCTCATTCATGTCGTCCTCCAAAGAAAAAACACCAAAGCAAAGAAAGAACACCAATATACCCTCTTCGTCAACTTCCACACAAAAAAGCGATCAACGAGGTCAACCGTCTCAAACTAATCACAATGGCAGTGACAACAACACTCGAGCTCAACGACAACAAGATCTAGAGTTTAACTTCAAAAATATAATACAAATGGCCTTTCAGACCTTTGTTTTTATTTATTTGATTTCTTGGTTTTTTAAAGGTAAGAAATAATCTCACCGGTTTCGTAAAATGAATTTATGGAAAGTTTTTTTTTCATAATACGCTATGTATGTATGATATTAGGTAGTTCACAAACATCAGAGAAGGCCAGCAACTCTGAAATGTTAAATAATAGTCAGCAACCTGGAGCTAACGGAGTTCCAACTCATGATAAGGTGTTACCATATTGGCAATTAGATTCAAATATAGTATGTTACTTAAAACCTTTAATGAAAAAATGAATTTTGAGATTTTACAATTTGTAATTTTGGTTATTAGAATTTAAGGGTTTATGTATCGGAAAATGAAAACTTTGACCAATTCAATGATCCAGATGCGCTTGTTTGGCACGCGGCTAATATTCGATTTGGAAACTGGAATGATGAACGCGAAAAATCGTTGGAAATTCCAACATCCCCGGTAAAATATTTTCCTGTTCAATTTGCTATTTTAAGGATTCTTTTCTTGTTATATTCACACAAAAATCTCTTATGCTAACAATTAATTTATTCAATAAAGAATGTACAAAAAAATGGAACTTTATATGCACACATTTATCTGACTCTGGAACAGGCGTCACCTAATCCTCAAGATCATGCGTACGAACCAAATATGCTAGTCTATAAAAGAAAATGTATGTCAATCATCACACATCTCGGAACTTTATGGCTGGTTTGACTAAAATTTCAGCGTGCTGATTAGTGATATTGTCTGTTGTTATCTTATTCGATTTGAGTGATGTTTAGTGCTGACTAGATATTTTCCGAAACGTAAAGAAATAAAGACCAAGAAATTAATTGGCGGCGAGGAAGAAGAAGAAAACAAACAAGAAACAGAAAATTCCGAATTGCTGGAGGTAATAATTATAATTATAATTATAATAAATATTTTGCTCTTTATTTAATAAATTATTTCTTTTTATTTAGGAAAAAAATAGCAGTAACAAGGATAGACCTATAGTATCTCATTGGTGTCAAAATTTAACTTTGAATATAGTATCCGATAATGTCGTGTTACCTTATTCTCAGTTTCCACCAGTGATCACGTCAGGTTTGTTTATTATTGGTGTATTTTCTCATTTATGAATTCTAATTTTGTGTGTATCTATAATAATAGAAATTTCATTGGAGGTGAGTGGAAAAAAAGATCCATCCGGTAAACACGGTTATTATCTTCCAATAGTGTACATTAACGATTTCTGGATATTAAAAGAGCATATGACATCCATCAATGAAACTGTCAGGTAAGTGTTATTTAAAAATTGAAAGAGGAGGAAAAATTATCGAAAATATTAATAATCATACTTTACCCAAAAATCAGAACTCTCCCGTTGACTGTGAAATTTTATCCGTTATCGTTTTTAAAATTCCAAATGTACGCACAAATGCAAGAATCATTCCAAGTTCAAGCAGAATTGCTAGGTGGTAATGCCCACAGTGAATTTGATGAATTCAAGCGAATGTTGCTTGAAACCAATCCAATATTGTTAGGCGTGACATTTTTTGTTTCACTGCTACACAGTCTTTTTGAATTTTTGGCCTTTAAAAATGGCAAGTACTTCCATCCCTCATAATTGTGCATTCATATTTTAAATATTTTGATTATAAAAGTACAAATTATCTGACATATCGTTGATTTGTGATTTCTTTTAGATATTTCGGATTGGAAAAATCGTAAAGAAATGACGGGAATTTCTATTCGGACCATTTTTATGAATATTTTCTTTCAATTGATTATATTTTTGTACCTCTTTGATAATAATGAGGAGACAAGTTGGATGATTTTGATTGGACAAGGGATTGGATTGGCTATTGAGATCTGGAAAATTAAAAAAGCCCTTGCTGTTGAGGTTTGTGTGTTACCTTATAGAACAAATTATTTATTTAATCAATATTATATCTAAGCTCATTATTATCATATGTGTGAATGAAATAGATCAAACCCTCGCAAAACACAATTTTCCCTTATTCGATACGCTTTGTTGATAGACACCAGCTTTCCGAGTTGGAGAAAAAAACCAAAGAATATGATCAACTAGCCTTCCGATACTTGTCTTGGGTCGCCTTTCCTTTATTGATATGTTACGCAATATACAGTTTAATTTATAATACACATAAAAGTTGGTACTCCTTTGTAATTACCAGCTTAGTTGGTTTTGTGTACACATTTGGATTTATAATGATGACGCCACAACTATTTATTAATTATAAGCTCAAAAGTGTGAGTATATCTAATTAATTATTCATGCTGAACATAACAATTCTCTAATCATATATTAATTATTATGTATTCGATTATTATAGATAGCACATATGCCATGGAAAACACTCATGTATAAGACACTAGGCACATTTATCGATGATTTATTCGCATTTTGTATCAAAATGCCCATGCTTCATCGGCTAGCTTGTCTCCGAGACGACGTGGTATTTTTCGTGTATTTATATCAACGATGGATTTATCCGGTAGACGAGAAAAGAGCCAATGAGTATGGACAAGTTGGCAGCGAGCCGGAAACGGAACAACCTAATAAAATTATAAATGGTCACGATAATGATGTTGATAACAAGCAGTCATCGTCGTCGTCATCGTCATCAGCTACAGAAACCAAAGAGTCGAAAAAGGACAAATGAAATTTATATATATTTGTTATATTGCTTTTTCGCACTGCATTCATCGTATTTACTTATCGTTATTTAATGTAATAATAGAACACTAAATTCTCTTAATAGTAATTCTTTTCGTTGTGTATATGGAATAAGATAGACATACTTTAAATAAAACCAATAATTAATCATTGATAAAGTAGTTCGCTTCGGAATTTATCAAAGCATGATCTTTATAGGTTGAAGCTAGTGATGTCAAAACTTCGATATACATGTATAAAGGATATATATGAATTTAATTTACATATATAATATATCAATATTTTTGTTTTTAACTAATAAAAATAATGTAAAAATTTACATACACTACTTTCAAAGTTTATAAATTTTATATATTTAATATATAGTGGCTAACAAAATGATGGAATCACGCGCGTGTGATTTTATTAATAAAACAGTAAAAATTGAAATTTTTGTTTTATATATAGGCAAAAATTTTAAATTGAAAACTTTTATATAAAACAAAAATTTCAATTTTTACTATGTTTTATTAATAAAAGTACATATATAATTTCATAATTTTGTCACTATATAATAAAAATTAAAACTTTTGTCTTATATTATATATAGTGACAATCAGAAATAATGCAATAACATCAAAATTTATTAATTAAACATAATAAAATGCAGATTTTTCTCTTTATATAAAAGTTTTCAATTTTACTATAAATATTTTTATTTTTATATTAAAGTGAAGATAATATCACATATTTTAATATATATTTTTTTCAAATTTTTTAGATTTAATTTGATAAAGCTGTTCTAATTGCATATAAAATCAATTATTTTTTTATAATTAAAACATATAAAAAAATAATTAACTTTATATACAATTAGAATAGTTTATCAGATTAAATCTAAAAAATTTGATATATTAAAATATATAATATTATCTTCATTTTAATATCAAAATAAAAAATATTTATTAATAAAATTGAAAACTTTTATATAAATTATTAAATTAAAACTATCAATGATATTTACAAAAAAATTGCTTATTTACTCACTTGATTACTTGCTTATTTACTTATTATATGATCTAATATAAATATAAATCATTTAATGTAATATAAATAAATAATCTATATAATATTTGTAAATAATAATATAAATAATAATATAAATATAATACAAATAATAATAATATAAATAATAATATAATATAAAATATAAATATAAAGATCTTAATTAAATAAAATATAAATATATATTTTCAAAATTATCCAATAAGATCAAATATAATTTTGATTAATAATTAATATGAAATTCCATTATATAACAGTATGAATAACAGTATCTAATATAGCTAATTTAGTTAAATTAACAAAGAATTTGATTTCTGGTTTTAAATTATTGACAAATAATATTACTTTGAGATATTCTAAATAAGTATTATCTAAATCAATTTGTCAAAGTAATTCTTGAACAGTAATAGAATATTATTCAATACTGCTACTATTTCTAGTTCTTATATATGAGAATATTTAGAAATGACTAATAGTAACTGTATTTATAACAGATTTTAAATAAAAATGATATAACTAATAATAATAAATAATTAATAATAATGAATTAATAAGAATATAAATATAAAATGAATATTAAATATATTTAAGTAATAATTAAGTGTTACTAAAACTAAATATATAATATTAAATTAAAGTTAAAAGTGTAGTTGTAAAAGACAAAGACAATATGATAATAATTAAGAATAAAATAAGACAAAAACAAAAATAAACAAAGAGAAAATAAGAAAAAATAATAAAAAAACAAGAAAATAAGACAAACAAAACAAAAATAAAATGAATAAAAGAAACAAAAAGAAACAAGACAAGTCAAAAGTTAAAACTAGAATATAATTTTTTTAGTTTATTTCAAGTCAATTCTCATGTTACATATATAGCAAATTTGAGTTATGCTAATCTATATATTATTATATATATATTACAAAGTGAAATCAATAAAGTATAGATCTATAACATATTGAAATATAATAACTATTATATAATATTAAAAAAGAATTTGTGTAAAATCTATATGTTACTAATTAAATTAATATAACAAGAGATTAAATATAGATTAATATAGAATTACTATGAATTAATTGGTTAAATAATTGATAATGGAATTTAAATAAAAATGATGTGATAAAAATAAAAAATAATTGGATAAAAAATATTAATTATTATTATTGAATAATAATAGAAAAAAATTATAAAATCTAGAAAAGAAAAATAATAGAAAAGATATTACTGTACTTTTGAAATTAAATGTGTATTAAAAAGATAATTAAATGTAAAATAATAATAATACTTTCAGTTGATAATTATTTGTATTAATTTAACTGTTATTGTTATTTATAGAGTTTATTAATAGTTTTAAATTATTGTTTAAATTGAAGATAAATAAAGTAATTTAATTATTTATATTATTTGGAGCATTTAAATTTCATTATATTGATCAGTTTGCTATAGTTACTCTTTTATTGACAAGTTATATTTTAGTAATACCTTTCAAATATGTACCAATAATTTGTTATTTTCTCATATTAATAATATTATTAGCTTGATATATAGTTTCAAAATCTTGTAATTATTCAATAAAATCTTGAATATCTTTATAAAAATTAATAATTTTTGCAAATAATGCTTCTCTTACTGATAAAGTGCTTGTACTCAAATAATATTAATAGAATTTGTTAATTTGATTATCAATTGGTTAAATTATTATTCATAATTAATTCTGATTATTTTTCTTCATTATCTTCTTTAATTACTTGAATTACTTGATCTTCTAATTTTTCCTCAATAATTTGTATTGGTAAATTATTTTGAATTACAATTTGGTTATCTGATTTTTGTAATTTGGCTAATTATTCTTAAAATCTTTATTGTTAACAATAACTTTTTCATTGTATTATAAAGATTTAAATATCTTGTTGTAAATAAGATTGAATTTTGTAATAAATGATATTATATTAATTCACTAAGTTATTTAATTAGTTTGTTAATTGAACTTTTTAGATAAGTTATAGCAAATACTTTTATTAGTCAGTCTTTGATTTCTTTTAGTTGTTGTTTGATAAGATTTTCTTGTAAATTAATTTTGTCTTTTAATTTTTTAAATAACTGCTTAATTTTTATATTAGTTAATTGTGTTAAATTCAATTTGATTAATTTGAGTGATTCATTCACAGAGAATTTGTTTACTAATCAATTTGTTATATTTGATATCTTTGAATTTTTCTTTTTCATAGAGAGAGTACCAAACTTTATTATCATTTTATGTGATTTATACTTTATTATAAGTATACATATGATAGTATATGTGATAAAATCAGATGAAAGAGTTAATATAATAAATAACTTTAAGTTGAAAGAGTTTACTAGATTATCTAAAGATAGGTAACATATATTTATTTTGTTAATCAGCTAGAATAAGATCAGAAAAGTTGAGCATTCTTTTAAAATTGGTTTATAAGCAAGTAAGATATAATTTCTTTTATTAATTCAATACTATTGACTTTGCAATATAGACAAAAGATCAATACAAAAATGTATAAACTAATATAACTCAATAATGATGAGAAATTATAAAACAAACACAAATAACTTTGCAATTAAGACGAAATATTATAACAAAAAAATTGAGAAGTTAAGAAATTTTAATTTTAAGATATAGTAATTAATAATATTTAAATAATCTCAATAATAAATTGGCAAATTAATTCTATTGACTTTGGTGCTAAATATATATACCGTTTAGCACTGTATATAACATCAGGGTTTTATTCAAAAATTGTAGTTATAAATTGAATAGTACCCGTGGGTATTGTGTATGAAACCGGGTATTATATTTGGAGTAATATATTTTACAGATGGTATTGTATAGAGAATTTATATATATTATTGGGGGATACTATATACAGTGTTAAATGGTATATCCATTGCCATTTCGAGAAACGGCAAAAGAAAATACGTTCATTAAATTTGCTTAGATTCATCAATTTGTTTGAGACGTATAAATACATCACATCCACGACTGTATAAAGACATCAAATTTATCGAGCCTCCAAAGTATTGTGCGTAAATACGTGCCAGTGGAAGACTAACATAAAAATTAATATATTAATTTATTAAAAAACACTGCAACTGTTAAATTACTAATAAAAATTTAGAGAAACCACAGCTATTCACCCATATCCTAATCCAGCAATTGGTCCTCCTACTCCAGCTTGCATAGCCATTGTCGAGACGCCCACAAGAATATTATCTGACGGATGATTTTCATGATCATCTTGTGGCACAGTGGTAAACGAATAATCAAAAATCGAGGGCAAATCTTTAGCCGAAATACCACCACCTTGATCTCTTACACGAATTCCAATACTATTCTTTCCTTGAGATATGGTGACTTGAATTGGCGGTAAATCATATCGATTAATCTTTTGACTATATTCTACTGTTGCACGATACGAATTTTTTAATACCTCCGAGATAATATACTCGAGATGCACCGGCACATACGTAAACGTGGTGTCTATTTGTCCATCGATTATTGTTTCCGGGGCAGAGCCATAATGAACTTCACATAGTTCTTGTACAAATTTCGCGCATTGTTCGATTAGTTTTTTAGGTTGCGTACGTGTATTTATAATTCCAATGTAATTTGGATCATGAGCGTTATGTAATGCAATATGTTGCTCGGCGATTAGTCTGATACCAATACGTGCCCGAATCATATCATCTAGAAATAATTTTATATCATCCGACTTCATGTATTTTTTACATTCTTGAAAACCTAATAATTAACAAAGAAAGTAAGAAAATCAGTGTAATTTATCCTAAATGCAATAACAGCAGCATACAAAATCACGACAATAATTGCTTGCTCAATTAATTAAAAACCTTTTGCTAATGTAGGAATATTCTCTGCATGTGAATCGACAGTTTCTTTTAAAAGCGCGGCAAACTCTGAATCTTTTTCGATGCTCGTGATCTCGGGAAAACCACGAATAATCTCAAAAGAATTAAAATACAATTGATAAACACTTTTAATGTAGGGATTCGTGCCTACAATAAACGGTAAATTTTGCAACGCTTTCACCCGTCTAGCCAGCCGAACGGGCAATTTTGATCGTGTATATCGTGCAGACTGTAGTAATGTTTCGGTGCTCAGTGGCGGTTGACCGAATTGAATTAGTTGTTTCATAGTTACAGGACTAATCGATCTTGCTGCATACTGTTATTATTATGATTATCGTTTTATTGTTAATTCAATGTGTTATTTCATTGAGCTGGAACCTCATATTGAGAACTAAAAGGTGCTAATTATATTTTAACTTCACATTTGAGAAGTAGTTATGTCTATATTTTATTTACCTTTGCCGCTTTATCATCATAAAAAGATATCACATCATGTGTCGTGTATTCTCTTTTAGTATTATGAAAGATTAAAGTATTATTTGTGGAGGTTAGTCGCGTTGCCTTGAAGCAGCTAAAGGAAGATATAAATCGAAAACGTGATATTGGCATATCTCCAAGTAATCTGGTAATAACACATTTTGTAGCTTGACTAAAAAGGCACACAGACACGTGAACACGTCGCATACAATTTACACTACACCATATAACTAGCAACTTTAAAAATGCGCAAATTCTGTTTACTTCCACCCTCATTTATCTTCTTTTTTCTATTCACGAGTTCTTTTGCACAATTAGTAATCGTGTTTCCTCAAAATTTTCATGACTTAATGTCGTCGTCGCAAACTCCTGATTTAAGTGTACTAAATGTAGGACAAACTGATGATACACCCTACAATATTGGTCCACCGACTTTAGAAGATTTATTGCCAAAAGAAAAAGACTTAACAATGTTTATGGATTCTTTACGTGATTTTCCTGATGTTGTACGTAATGTTTTTTTTTTCGGTTTTTTAAGTTAATTATTTATACAAAACTTATCAGCAACTTTATTCATAGCTGAAGAAAATTAGCGATCCAAATGAAACTTTAACACTGTTTGCACCAATCAATCGTGCTTTACTTAATTTAAAAGTAAAGCCAAATGCTATCAGAGAAGAAGATAATGATGACGAAGCAGCAGCTCGAGAAAGATTTCATCAATTTGTTTTGGGTCATATTGTACCCAATTCAGTTTCATTGAAACCAGAAACTAGTGATGAAGAATTGAAGACATTATCTAATTTAACTACAATTCATGTTCAAAAAGCTGAGGGAAAAGGCGGTGTTAAATTAAACGACGATGTAAATATTGTAGGGAAACAGATAGAAGCTGTTAATGGGATTCTCTATAAAGTTGATAATGTGCTGGTGAATATCTAAAGTACATTCTGGATTTAGGGCAACAAAGATGTTTTAGTATCAAATAAAAGCTCAAGTACCATTTTTAATAAATTCTTATTGATTTTTCGCGTTATTTTAGTTATGTAATACTTTTTCGTGTTGTTTGTGTTCTTTTTTCAATGAAGTTGGAAATATTATCCGTTGATCTTTATTTCAAATTTTATAATTTAACAAATCTCATCCCTCGGTCAAATACTTTTTAATAACTGATTTACCAAGTCTTTGACAGCTCGCGAAGACTTGTAACATGAACAATCTCTAATCGACACCAAAGCCTGTTCTAGAGAATCAGTCGACTCGGTTTTCCATATTGAAGAATTTGTTTGTACCTATTATTATAATTAATTAATTGATGATGATGATGATGATGATGATGATGATGATGAGAATCATCAAAAGTAAGAAATTAACATACAACAAGCAGAAATAGAACTTACCCTCTTTTTAATATTTTTTACAATCGTTATTATAATCTTTAATAGTTCTTTGAGTTTCTCCACTTTTATTTTTGGTCGTTGAGGTTTACTTTTACATTTATTTTCATCATCTTTCTTGTCATCTTTATCATTGGCGGCGTCGTCTTTTACACTGGCGGATGATAAGATATAATCAAGTGTTCGTAAAAGAGATTTTTCATATTTGGGTATAAAGTCAAGCAATATTTGATCGTGATCGCTTGATTTCTATATACAAATAGAATAGTAAACAAAATTACTACAATCATCAATCCAATAAATGCCAGTAAACAAAAAACAATGGATAATGATCAAGAACCTTGGCTATCAGCTCTTTAACAAACTTGCTTGTCATTTCATATGCCTGAACAAGTCGAAACACATTTTGAACTTTCTCTGGATGCTTCGTAAACTCAAACAAATCATTGATTAAGAGCCAAGAGATCTCCGGAAACCGGGTCGCCAACTCGTTAAAAAATTCTATGTTGAGACGAGACTTTGATCTAGTCATAAAGTCATTTAATGACTCGCGATAAATATCTACAATTCCTGAATATCGTCGTGGTGATGATCGAATATTTTTGGATGATTTTGAACTGGGGTTGTTTTCGTAATATCGTACTAAAGTTTTAACAAGATATCCGCTAACATTATCACAAACACCAAGAATAACATTCGAAGCAGCTTTTTTTGCCAATTGATGCACTTCTTTCAATATCTCCAATACAGGTTTATCATCCTCATCATTATTCTCTTCATCATCTAAAGTAAATACTTCTGGATATCTCTTAGACTTGCACAATTTATTAACCAATAGTCCATTGGCTTTATTGGCGGCTTGGTCAGACGAGGAATTAGTTTTTAGAACGACATCAAGAAGTGGAAGTATGAGATTGAATACAAGTGGATTGGATGGTTGTTTTCGTATGAATATTTCGAGGAGATCAAGAACTTTGTTCTTGAAATGAATTACTTGATATTTGGCATCTATTGGAAATCAATATTGTTTTGTTGTCAATGATGGTGATGCCATGTTTTCATGCCAATTCAATTGAATGATTGATTACCTTTTTTTCTCGCTTTCTCAAGTTGTTTTTGTTTGAAAATTTCTACTAATTTTGCATCAAATTCTGCCATTTCTTCATCTTGATCTTTTGATTGTTCATCATCAGAATAAACATCATCATCTGTATTCTCTTTACTATTGTCACTTATACTAACTTTACTTTCTTTTTCCTCTTTCTCGTCTTCCTCTCTGTCTTCGTGTTCCTCAATATCATCATCTTCATCATCCTCATCCTCCTCATCCTCATCTAATTCCATAGTTTCATATAATTGTTCTTGTCCTGCAGTTCCTTCTTTAGTATCCAAAACCTAAATTAGATAAAAAATAAATATACATAAAATTAGTAAAAATTATGCAAATTTCATTGTATCGAGAAAATCTAATTAGACGTTTTTGGGTTGTCTTCGTTATATAAAGATTTTAATTAGTCATCGTTATAACGAGTTTCATTATATCGAGTTTTGACTGTATGGAAGTACAGAATATACATACATCCAACAACAAATCCAAAGAGGTTTCAGTCATTTGATCACAAAAAGTTTCAAAAACTTGTTCAGCGAGACGACGCAACATTGCCGACGGTTTCCCAAGAAATCCGAGTAAAATATCAACAATAACTTCGATAGGTTCAGGTCTCGATTCTGAATCGTCGGTTATTTTCTCTTTTGTAGATTTTTTTGTGAGTTTGAATACTTTTTTGTAGCATTCATGTAAATCCTTTTTTTAAAAGTACAATTAGATAATAAAAATAATTTGAGATTTCACCAAAAAGGTAAGATGAAAAGCACCGAAACACTCTTCTCATACCTGTAAAAACGTTGTAGCCTCCTTCGGTTCGTTATATAACATCAAGAATGCATGTGAATAAAGTAATTCAAATGCTTTATATTGAGATCCGGCATTATCATGATTATTTTCATTTCGATTGCTATTGTTAGTTTTTTCAGTTGTAAAGTTCTTTGACTTTGCGTCAATCTGTTCAATCACCAAAATCGCATCTCTTTGTGCTTGTTTAGCCTCGTCGGATAAACTTACGGCTAAATTATATTTAGGACTTTGTTGCAAGTTTTGAACACGTTCTACTGCGTATCGTGCCCAACTTTGTCCGGTGCTTGTAGTGCCGAGCAGTTTTTTGCGAATCAACTTTTTATTGTTGTTGTCCATACTTTCATTCGTGGTTGATTCTTTAGAATATGATAAAGATTGATTTTTTCAATATTTTGGTGATTTAATATATGCCATGAATTTACTTAATTTACTTACCGGCCATAAATGATTTCATGGTATTCAGTTCTCCGAGAGCATTGAAAAATCGTATTCTACACAATTCTCTTATAGATTCTGAAACTTCTGGAATTAGATTATCGTCCAAATCATTATCGTTATTATCAATGTTATAGTGATGTTGCCCATCCTCCAGCTTAACCTTTTTTTTATTCAAAGTTTTTTCAGACTATAAAATAAACTTAAAATATTAAAAACGGAAGACAAAAAAATGATGATAGATTGTATATTGTACACATACACTCGAATGCTTTCTCTTACGATTATTCTTACTATAATTGTTGTCGTTGTTTATTTTCTTTACAAAAAATCCGTGAATGAGAAAATGATCAAATATAAATTTAACCCAATCTTCACGATGTTCGATGCTATGATTTTTTAGTACCGAGTACATTTGGTTAATTGTCCACGTACGTAGTTTATCAATTTCCGATCCTTTACTGTTAGCTAATCCTTCTTCATTTTCAGCAAAATAAAACAGACGTTTTAAATATTTTACAAACGACAGTGCGCCATCTCCATCCAAATACAAAATCATGCGTTCAACCGTCTTTGAGTTTGTTAATTGATCGAAAATGCGCGACCCGTTTTTGCCAATCAATTGAAGAATTAAAGTTACTGTCGTGGATTTGTGGTCGATTGCATATTGTTGTATTGTCGATAACTGGTAACATTTATGTATAAATAAATTAATAAATTTGGTTATTTATATTTTATTGCTATTGTTGTATGTTACCGTATGCAAAGCAGCTTGGTGTAAATATCGATCTCCGGAAGAGAGATTATTCATTAGGGTACGTAAGAAATTTTTCGTAAAAATAACGGAAATCTGGTTTTCCGGCATCACATTTATGGATTTCTCAAATAGCTGGAATCCCCAGAATCGTCGTTTGTGTGTTGCTTCATTGTTGAAGAGGCCCTCTTTAAGTTTTTTATTTAATAAAAAGTTAAATATTAATTTTCAATAAGTCATATAAAAAAAAATATAGTTGTTACCATCAACTACGATCTTCCAAAACTCTTCAAACGATAACTCATTGGCATTATTTTCTCGAAAATATATTCTTAGAATTCTTTCCCATACAGAGTGAAGTCGTCCTTCTTGATACTGAGCATTTTTGTCCTCTTCTTCAGCATCATTATCATTATCTTTATTAACAATGTCATTGACGTGAGATTTTTTTGAAGACTTTACCTATTTACCCAAGTATACCAAATGTACTTTTAATTCTATTAATCCATAAATTAAGAAAATTAAGGAAAAAAATAACTCACTTCAAGCGCCTCAATAATTCTCGTTATATTGTCACGAGAAAGAATATTCGGGGTTTTCCATATATTAGATTTACATTTTTCACACGTTTTGTCCTTTTCATTATTGTGTAATACTAAAGATTTCCAGTATTTACTGATGGTATTTTTTGATTTTGTCATTTTTGTAGTTGTTTGATCCTAAAAAGAATAATTATTTATATCTCTATTTTTCTAAAGCTTTAAATAAATAATTGATAGTTACCGGAAATTGGTCTTGTATTGCTAATGCAAGATTAAGATCATCTGGTTTCCGAATACCATGCTTACAATGTGCAAATGTTTTTTGTATTAGATATTCGAGTCCACTAATTCTGTATACTTGCTCATTCAACTATTGAATTGTTCATTGATGTTTAATTCAAAAAAATAAAAATTAATATAAATCCTCCAATAAATTATATATTAATCTATTAATTATTTACCTTTGGCAACATGGATATAATAAGATGGTAACATGTCTCCCGAATGTAGGATTTACGTTGCGAGCAAGTCACCAATCCATCAATCACCTCACAGGAATCTTGTTCACACGATGTATCACCCCAAAGGATTCCTGATTGTATGATACAAGTGTATCCGAATACGCGACCGAATAGTGTATCTGAGTTTTCCTATTAGAAAAATTGCATTTTAATTTGTTTAATAATTTTAATCCAATATGAAAAGTAAACAAAAACAAAGGTGGATTTATACTTGTTCTTTATTCGACAAAAATGGACAAGCTTCATCAATGAACGGCATAATCAGTTTATATGACATGGACTCGAGACACGAAAGTAGCTAATAATAATATTATTACTATTATTCAATATACAGTTGCCGTTTATAAAAATATTAGCAATTAATTAATTAATACCTCAGTCAAAGCTAACGAAAAACCATGTCGCGCTGCCTGTCGAGAACTAGATAAACCTCGAGTAAGTCTTATCAACGAATACACGACATCAGGTCCATAATACTTTTCTAGTATCTCGGTGACTCTAAAAATAAATCAATCATTTATTAATTAATCGTTAGTTAATTAACCAAAAAATCTAATTCGATCTAACGATTCTATTCTGATGAAAACCTGATAAATCCAGCTCTTTTATTTTTTCTCGCTTCTTCCTCTAAATTTAACAAAACATTCTTCTGATTTTCTCGATATTCATGATAAAGTTTATATAAATGTGATGTGAGCTCCCTTGCAGCTTTTTGTCTCACAGTTTTATCAAGTGAAGCTAGCGACCAAAAGAATTCATATGTATCAGTTTTAGTCGTAGCTTCGCCTGCTGTTGTTGCCTTCATTTTATTAAAAAAACAATTTTGATTTTTGAACGGAAATCTAATTGGACACTCGCATCTTTTTACTTGGATTGGCCAATATAATATTTAAATATGTGATCAGCATCTAACAAATTACTTTTTGCGAACATGCACAGGTGGTTGAAACCAAAAGCGACCTTTGGTTAGTTATTTTTAACGAGAGCGTGCTTGCAAATATTCGTTATGTTGATTTACTTTTTCCACTTCAAAATTGATTTCTAAAGGCTTACCCTCAAAGACTCTCAATAGCCCTCCTACGTAACAGAAATTTCCTAAAGAACTATGGTCAGAGAAGGGCTACTATAACTCGTGGACTTAATACTTCACCGATAACTATCAATCAACCATCATTCCAAGTTATAGAAGAGGAGTCCGTGCACCAAGGAGAACACTATGTTCAAGTCCCAAAGCGCGGATTGGTGGAATTAGCTGGTAAAGATACTATGAAATTTTTACAGGGACTTATTACAAACGACATAACGTCTATAAATACGGGTGTAAACGTATTTTACACTGCATTTCTGAATTCAATGGTAAGCAAATCTTTTAATTATATATTCGAATATGATATTCGTACTAATTCTTAGCTACTTATTCAAAAAGGGACGAGTTCTTTTTGATACATTTATATATCAAAAGAATGGTGTACCAGAACCAGTAGTTCTTGTGGAATGTGATTTGCGAATTATCCCTGAATTCACGAACCACTTGAAAAAATATCTCCTTCGCTCAAAAGTAGTGATCAACGATGTCTCTTCGGAATACAAGATTTGGAATATCTGGGGAAATAAAAATCTATCAGATACTTCGGGACTGAACTCAACTTTGTTCAAGGGTGGATACGTTGACCAAAGATGTTCAGGAATGGGATTGCGAATACTGATACCAGCAAACATGAAACGTATGTAAGTTGCTTAGATTCTATTCTACCTTTATATTTTTTGTGGCTTAAATCATTATTTAGTTTACATTACAAAAAAAAAGGTTTTAATTTGTGCTTTGATTTTAAACAGCAAATTTAACTTCGAAGTTCACGGAATTACCTTCTGAAGAATATGCTATTCGACGTATTTTACATGGAGTACCTGAAGGCATTGATGATTTTGTACCAGAAAAGGCTTTACCATTACAATCAAATTTTGATTATATGGGCGGAAGTAGGTGTGATTTAGTAAATATAAGAACTATAACATGTAATTTAGTTTTCTGGTCCTAATTGTTTTCATTGCATTTTTTAGTTGATTTTCGAAAAGGCTGTTATATAGGCCAGGAACTCACTTTTCGTACATATCATACGGGCGTGACTAGACGGCGTATCTTACCCGTGCAGTTATATCCTTTCAGTGCGACTAAGTACGCAATACACATACTAAATTTGAATCTAGTAATATATAAATAATACATGATATCTCAAAAACTTCTGTTTACTCCTTTATTAGTGCTCCCACAAAATTAAGTGTTGACAGAAACATCCAAGTAGTTACTCCAGTTCCATACTCTGATATTCATCCATATGGACAATCAGGACGCGTTGCTGGAAATATTGGCGTATGCTCGCATAATATCGCTCTGGCGTTAATCAAACTCGATAAAGTTGATGTAGATGATCTTGTAGTTTATGCTGAGGGAAAAAAGCATATATATAGGGTGAAACCTTTTATACCGAGTTGGTGGCCTAAAGATGAGAATGAACAAAAGCAAAAATAATGATAAAATAATTTAGGATCATAAGTAAAACATTTAGTTAGAACTTTCAAACATGAGATTTATAGTATTTATTTAAGTATAATTGTTCAATATTGCGGCTTAGAACCTGATAAGATATTTGATTTAATAAAAATATAATAGTAGATTTTCAAAATAAGTTTATACTTCTAATGACAAACAAGTTTATGATTTTGCAATTAAATTTTGAATTGATCTCTATGTATTAATATAGACAATGACAAAATAAGAATGACAACAATAAAAATAAACTACTAAAAAAAACAAAAGCAGAATGGACTTTTATTTTTCTCGTTCTTTTCCTTTTGAATGATTCGAATGACTCGAATGATTTGAAACTGTTTCCGAATTGATATTATTATCGTGATTTGAACGTTGGCCATCATTTTCAGAATTTTGTTGATCTTTTCCTTGATGATTGTTATGACGATGAAGAAAGTCGAATAAACTTTTTTTCTCTTTATGAGATTCGCCATCTCCTTTTGACTTTATAGAACCACTTTTATGTTTATTGGGTTGATGATGATGATCATCATCATCATGAAAAGAAAAAAAATTCGAAATTTCGGACAATAAACTATTTTCTCTATAATGCTGTTTACGATGGCGATTTTCATTTTCGTCTTGTTGTTGATTAATTTCTTGGATGTTGTTTTGGGAATTACTATTTTGGTTTGTAATATTATTTTTTGCGCTGTCGGCTTTTTCTTTTCCAAAGATTGTAGTAACCTGTGCAAAAAACTCTGAAAATCCACCACTGGATCTTTTGGTCTTTTTCTCCTCTCCCTTTATTATTTTAACTGATTGGCTATTGTTTGTTATTGCTGTTGTTGTCGTCGTCGTCTCTTTCATTGCTACAGCAGTGGTGGTTGTTTTCGACGACGACGATTCAATGGTCATATCTACGACTTTTTCTTTTTCTATTAGGTCATGGTTATTGTCTATTGATTGTTGCTCTGAGTGGATAGGTGCGACTATATTTAATGAATTGTTTGATTCGTTTTGATCACTTTTCGCCTCGTGATTTGTGGTAATTACTGTTTTATGTTCTTTATGATTATGGAATACTTTTCGTGCTCTACTTGCTGCTCTCTTGACCTTACGATCAAGAAAGTCCAACTGTTTAGATGTAACTGTTTCAACATTTTTCATAAACAAACCGACATTCAGACTGACGTGTGCCACAAGTCTAGAATGATATTTCTTTCTTAATTTCTCTTCTAATAAATCATTTGGATAAATAATATCGGCATATGTGGTATCCAGTTCTTTACTCTTTAAATGTTCTATCAGCGCTTCAAAATGTTTTTCTCCTGGTTTATAATGACCACTTTTTGGATTTATTTCAAGAAGCTTTCCCTGATAAACTTTGACTCCGCCAGCTGCACAGATTGCTCCGCCAGCAAGAAACGATGAATGATGAAAGTGTCCTTTGATTTTTTCATGAATATATAAATTATCATAACAATCTGTTACGTATATCCATTTCACATTTGTATCTTCACCTGAATCGTGACTGAGCATTGAAGTATTGTCATCTTCCCCTCCAAATGCCGATACACCTAGATATGATTCATCGATATCTTTTTGGTTCGTGAGATTCTTGTCTTTGTTTCCATCATCCGAATTTTTTTTGATTGTTAATATCACATAGTTCTTCTCATCTGGTGATCCATCCTTTTCCAAGTTACCTGTTAATTTTGTCAGGTCATAACTCATCTTTTGAGCATGATTTTCCAGATACTTGGTGCTTGGATTTGTATGTACCAATTTGTTAGTGTATTCGTAGAATAAAAGGCCATCTTTAATTATTACTTTAAGTTGCTTTCTTTCCGACTTGTCGAGATATTTGACTTTTTGTTGGTTTAGTTGTTCACGCGATACTGAAAGATTTAAAAGCGCACCCTCTCCTTTATCTAACCAGTCAAAAAAATTTTCGGGCGTTTTAGATTTAAGCCACTCATCATGATAAACCTAACATTGATATTTGGAATTATAATTAGATCAATGAAAAATCATGCAATAAGCATTGAATGAATGGTCTGTCTGTATGTAAACAAATAAAAGAAGCTAATAAATTACACACCTTCAAATTTGCACCATATCGATGTTCTTTATCGTAAAGTTCCAACCAATGTTCGTTATCCAATATTAACCAAAGATCTTTTTGGTCAGTTCCCTATTTTTATTCAATCAAATAATTTTAAAGATGATTATTGTTTTTGAGCTCTTATTATTTCATATTTGTGTATGCATAGAAAAATATTTTACCTTTCCGATCTGTCCCGCCACTTCTACCAATCCTTGCATTATACTTCTCAATTTCGCGTGTCGATTTGTCAAAGTTTTCGATAATGAATCAGATTCATGAAATTTTTCAATAGCTTCATCCACAACTTGCCCCCATTTTTTCATTATGGCATAATGTGATAAACGTTCACGAGACTCTGCTGATACAATTTTGCCTTCTCTTTCACGTGCTGCTCTGAAAAAGAATTCTATTTTGATAAGAAACTTGAGCAAAATAAAAGAATAACTAGTTTAGAGATTAATCTATATGTCAAATTATTTGTATTTACCGGTGATTGCGGTAGGCTCTTTGAATGTTAAATGCATTTTGAGCGTCATGATCCGTAAACCGTCTCTTCAGTGTCTTTTTTACGTTATCATTACCCAGGACGTTAGCTTCCTCTTCTTGGCGAATGTCTGAAACAGAAGACATGTACGTATTTTCAGTTGAGTTGTATGCCGGAGTTTTTACTCGCAAATCTCGTAGTAGGCTAACTAGTTAACATAAAAACGAGTAGTTTGCTCCATATATAACACAATTGGTATAGTGTAACAATGGCGATTATCATGAAAATCAAAATAAAAAAAGACAAGTAGTCCGATCGACTTTGTGTCATTTATTTAGTTTATGTGCGAAGATAATAATAATAATAATCATAGTAATTAATCATTAAGAAAACATTCGTAGAGAAATAGGAATAGAGCAGATGAAATTATTTAGGAAAGATCCATTTTATCGCCATTCTTGAGCATGTTAGAGCTTTTGTTGACAGCTGGATTTTCCGAAGGCTAAAATAAAAATTAATAAAAATCATGCATTAAATGAAATCGAATCAAATCAAATCAAATCGAGAATAACTTCTGTTTCAAATTTACTTCGATAGCCATATATGCATCTAGATCTGCATCTAAATCATCGTAGGTAACTGGTTTTCTCTGCAAAGTTTTCCGTCGACCATCCGAATTCTTGACAAAAAATCTCTCGAAATGCGAAGCGTCGCCATATGAATTGACGCCTCGGCCTAATCGAGAACGAAGATCATTACGAGAAGTTTGTTTGCTAACAAATAATTTCAACCAAAAGAATCTCACTTATTAATAACATTTAATTAATTTATTGAATCATTTTCTAGACTTACACGGAGCTATTATGAACATTGCCTAGACGATCAAAGACAGAACCACGGTCTGAATTTGATGTTAATCCACGAATATTAGACACTTTTGTATTGGGTTTAGATGCTGCGTATTTGATCCTCATCTCTTGACCTTTTAGTCAACGAATAGATGTTAAAATGTAGTTTTGATTAAATAGTTTCAAAAATTTACTATCTACCTTCAAGCATCGTTCCGTTATATTTTTTTAAGGCTGCCGCAGCATCTTTGGGATCTTCAAAAATGACATCAGCCACTCCAAGACTTCGTCCAGCCCGATCATAGTGAAGAAACACCTTTTTTATAGCACCTGTTTTTGAGAATAAATCCTGGATTTTTTACAAAAAGAAATTCAATTTTAATTAATTTGAAACTTGGTATATAAACAAATATTTATATAATTAACGAATAACCTGAAGATCATCTTGAGTAACTTCATAAAATAAATTTTCCACCAGTAGTTTGGAATTTCCGTTTTGATATGAGGTATAACGCGTAGTACTTGAAGAAGAAAGTGAGCCGTGTGCGTGTCCGTCTTCGTATAGATCGTGCGACCATTGACTGTTTATGTTTCCGCTAGGGAAACGCTGTGAACAAACGTGTCGAGAAGTTTCAGTACATCTCAAAGCTTGTCGTTACTTTTCTGTCTATTCGGCCATATACTTGACGAACAACAGCGAAGCTCGATCGTCAATCTTTTGGCCCAAAGGAAACGGAAGAAGTAGCTGTACCCGCATCGCCCCATGAAGTTTCTAAATAAACCCAATAATTCTTCTCAAAAAACAGGTAACATTGCAAATAATTTCAAAAGGTAATTGTACTCACCGAGCGACTGTAAGGTGCGGTTCGAATACGACCTGTTCGATTTGAAGAACCACTTTCCGCTGGAAAAGCTTGACTACGGACTGTTCGCCGAGACAAAGCTTTTTGGTTCTTGGCTCTGTTGGTCGTATTGTTGTATTCGTCTAAGGCCATGTCAAATACGCCGCTCATTCTATCTGTATTCTTCACGGATTGGGTATACTGAGAAGAGTGTCGGTACTTTGCAAATGTATTGTTTCTTTTACTAAAATGGCAAAGCCTTTATTAAACAGCCGAATGATTACGTATTAGAATGTATAAATATAGATATGATCCTCCAGTAACAAATAATTTTTGGGCCCCAAATTCTAATTGGATAGCAATACAAGCTCATTTTCATTTGCTTGTTATCGTTATCGTTATTAGAATTTTATGAAACTAATTTATATAAGATCTACATGAATTTCAAGGACTTCACACGTTTATAAGTTAATAAATTGAACACTTTCTTTTTAATCAAAATGTACTATTCATTAATAACATGAAACATTTTACATTCTATTTATTCATTCTATAATTAAACGTAATTAATCACCTTGTATCCATCAAATTATTCTGATTATTTATTGGATACCGCTTTTCTTTGCGTAAAGAATAAAAATTCGGGTTAATCGATCGATAATTATTGATTTCTGATCGAAACATCAAAAAAAATAAATTCATATTCATAAAAAGAAATTCTACAATTGTGTTCAGATAAAATAGTGATATCAAAAAAAATTCACTCCCTCTAACAGATAAGGATATTATCATAAATAGTGCAATTTTTTGATTTTTAGGTCCTTAAACAACCAAATTTCAGATAGTTGAATTTAGGATAAGCCGGTTAAGACGCAGCCAGGATTTAATCAATTGGAGCGCAGATTGCTTCTTTCATATAAAAGCTATTCTTATTGACTAATTTGAATTGCTGTCGAGTCAGTGACTTGGGTAGAATCCTTTTGTGTAAAAATACATTAGTTTACCATTAAATTTGAATTATTTATTTTATGGCAAAATATTTTTTAAGAATAAAAAACTAAATACCTCATCAATTTGCATATATTCGCTCATTTCCGCATCCAATTGCTCTTGCGTAGGTTTTGCTCTATTATCCGATCTACGGGTACCTCCACGGGTACTACGTCCTCCTCGTGCTGTAGAACCTCGAGTCCCACCTACACCGCGAACTGTTGGACGATTTCTGTAATATTAATTAGACTTTAGAAAATAAAAAAAATAGTTTCATTTGCAAGCAATAATTAAATTCATGTTAATGTACTCATTTAAGCCACCAATACGTTGAGTTATAGGACCGGCATTAGGAGCTACAACAAATTCGATTTTAATATCACGACCTATATAATAAAATCATTAATATTTATTATTAATAAAAGCGAAGACTAAAACATTTAATGCTAACCGTCTAGTGTGGTATTGCGGAATTTTTCGACAGCTTTAACTGCATCTGTTCTTCTATTAAAAACAACAGAGGCGGTACCCTTGGAACGACCATTCTGATCAAAGTTCAGGTTGACTTGCCGTACAGGTCCGATCATCGAGGTAAAAAGTTCCTGAAGGGAGAAGGGATAGGGGATGTCGATTACGTGTTTTGTGGAGAAGGAGCGTGTGTAGGATTTGCAGGTAGGTTGATTGTTTTCAATAGGGGCAACAAGTTGAGAGCGGTGAGGAACGTGTCTGACTTTCCAAAAGCAGCAAGGCGAAGAAAACGGCCGTTGACGATAAAAATTCGTACAAAGGTCGCTTTGATTAAGGCTTATAATTGACCGTAACCCCAGCAGCTTTGGCACCAGAACATTAAGAAACTCATCGCTTTCTCTCGCCTTCCAACTATAAAGGCGTATTTGCCGACCAATCGGAATGGTTTGCAAAGTTTGGACATTATTAAATATTTACCCAAAGGTCATTCTCTGTTACTTTATACGCGAGGTTCGACACTAGAATCTTCCCTTCGGTTGTTGCATTAAGACTAGCTGAGGTGGTAACAGATGTTCCAGCATACGGTCTTGGTCTAGTCTGTGAAGACCGTAGAGTTCTGATGGGCCCATTTGAACGTTTGGTAACACCGCCACCTCTAGCTGGGCCACCAGACCTACCGGCTCGTGATGGTCGTTTCTTTGCGATAATTTCATCTAGAGACATATCTAAGCTTGTGGACATGATGATTGAGAAATTGTATGTAATTATAGTGTTGAAGTAAGTAAAAGATAAAGTGCTTCAGGGATTATTGGGGCATACTGCAACAAAACCAAACAAAGCATCACACAAGAATTTCAGGGGTTCAAAATTTTAAGGCAACAATCAGATCATCTGAAAACTGTTTAATCAAGCATATCGCTTCAACACATGGAGCAGCCCAAATATGCGTATCCAATGCATGATATACATAATTTCTTCAAAAATGGAATTTAGAAAATTTTTATATGATCGGAAACAAATATGTAAATATTTATGATTTATTGGTTGGTATTCATAGGCCAAAATTTCATAATTTGACCAAAAAATTCATGAAAATATTGATATTTTTGAATTATACATGTAATAAATTAATTTTATCTTTTTTTTATGATAATTGAATAAATGAATTATAATCAAATCTCTCTATAGTTACATCTGTTTATAATCACATCTATCTATATTCACCCTATTTTGCTTTCCTATTTATATATAAACATAGTAAAAAAATCTTTATAATCACCAAATTTTGCTTTTCTGAGAGTGATAATTATAGAGAAATTTGATTATTATATTATTATAATATAAATATTTAATTATTATTTTATTAATTACAGACAAATCTCTCTAAATACACTTTTTATAAGTGCACATTCTTTCTAAATATATAATATAACTGAATCTGAGCTCATAAAAGCTCTTTATATTTTGATCTTTATAAATATATTGTTACATTTATTTTCAATAATTCCATAATTAACAAATCTTTCAAAAATAATAGAAAATATAAAAATCCTCAAAAATAATAACAAAATAATAAATTGATAAAAATAGTATATATATATCAATTATTTAATTATTATTATTATTTATCTTTTTTATCCTTATTATCTACCTTTTCTATCTTTATTCTACTTTTTCTATCTTTTCTACCTTTTATATCTTTATTAACTATCTTTTCTACCTTTCTACCTTCGTTATTTATCTTTTCTACCTTTTTCATCTCTGTTATTTATCTTTTTTACCTTTATTATTTATCTTTTCTACCTTTTTCTATATACCTTTTCTACCTTTTATATATATCTTTTTATAATTTTATAATGTAGATAGAACTAAAATGTATTGAGAAATTTTGTATAAATAGGAGTGCTCTTCCATGTTTCAATCTCATATTTCAATGCTTAAACAAATTAATAAATTTTAATCTTGATACAATAAGTTAACAATTGTCTTATTGTTATAAAATTAATATTTATCCTTGTATCTTCTTTTGTCAAAACAAATTGCCTGGCAAAAATAATTTGTTGATTGAACTTTAAATCTTGTAATTCAAGTCACTTTTCATAAATCTTGAGCGAGATCAAGAAACTGAATATTAATTTGTGTAGAATTGAATTTCTGATTATTACTTTTGTCTTTAAATTTGGAAAAGATGGTTAAGTATTTTTGGATAAG